TTTAAGTCATAAAATCTGGTTTGTTCCTCAATTCATCCTCCTGTGTCTTGTCCTTTGGTTTTGATTTACTCTAGCTTTGTTGCCCAGCATTTGGTTCTGGTCTCTAAGGACATCTCAAACTTCTGCCCACATCCCAGCCTTGGCGATCAGTTATCCTAACCAGCACAGCACACAGGCCCAATCCAAGCCCATAATCCAAGTGGTAATTTTCAAGCATTGCTTCCATCCGCATGCATTTCTACAGCTAATGTCAGAGTTAATTAAGCCACATCCAACCTCCTACCACCCCTCCTGTCAGCCTTTACAATGCTCATTAATCACGAAGCTCGGATAACTAGGCTCTCTCCTATGGCGTGGTGCCCCTGGGAATGTGATGCTGAACTACTGCTCTGACCTTGGCTTGAAAGCTGTTTGGGGCAAGAGCCAAGGTGGAAAGAAGCTCACAGAGCAATGTGTTACTTTGGGCAGGAGTCAGCATTAAAGAACACCATGACTGCGTTGCTCAGTTACCTTTACATGTCATGTCTCTCCCATCTAAGTAGACAGTATTGTGCCTTAAGCAGGTTGGAGCAAATTTATTCTGAGAACTCAAATTCACACACCAGAAAATCTATGAATTTCACCGGGGAACCTTTCTCTGTCCAAAGTCCGCATATGTTTGCAGGCAACCTTTCTTGGCATGATGGTATATAATTTTTTGATGGAATCTAGTAACAATGAAAAACAAGCAATATATATTTACTTATATCCAAACCAAAAGAATACAAACACAGTGTGTACTGACAAAATATCAACCATCTAAACCTGATATAGCGCACACAAGTTGTTGTTGTTGTTGTTGTTGTTGATGATGATGATTTTATACCCTACCTTTTTCTCTGACATGACCCAAGCGGTTTACAGATTAAAAACAAGAATCACTATAAACATAGAAAAAAGCTTCATTTAAAAAATAATGAAACATCATTAGAATTATATACACATATAAAATCTGTTTAAAACATACAAATAATTACAATACCAGCAAATACAAAACAAAAACAATAAAAAAACAATAAAATGGTGGCTTCTCTTTACTTTTCAAATTTGTTTGTTTGTTTGTTAATTAAATTTGTACACTGCTCTATACCCATAGATCTCAGAGTGATTCACAACATAACAACACAATAAATAAGAAAACAGAAAATACATAAGAAAAACAACCGCAACATTCCCTGCTTCCGCAAGACATTTTAAAAGGGCATCAGGTGTCAATCAGACAAAGACCATACCAGTCAGATCAGAGCTATAATTAGGAAACACTGGCATTTAGTGTAGAACCATGCCTAGCATTGATGGGTGGAGAACTGAGAGGTAATTTTCTAAATAACAACAACAACAACAACAACAACAACAATAATAATAATACAGTCATACCTTGGGTTACAGATGCTTCAGGTTGTGTTTTGTTGGGTTACGGACCTGCCGAAACCCGGAAGTACCGGAACGGGTTACTTATGCTTTGCACATGCGCAGAAGCACCGAATTGCAACCCATGCATGTGCAGACACGCCGCTGCAGGTTGTGAACGCTGCGGGTTGCGAACCTGCATCCCGCACAGATTACGTTCGCAACCCGAGCGTCCACTGTAATAATAATAATATTTATACCCTTCCCACCTGGCTGGGTATAATAGGAATTGCAATGTTGGTGGTGATTGTTGATCTGAAGGAGAATTTGTCTAGACTGGCTTTTCAGTCAATGGTCTAAAATGTGTTCAAAGAGCACAAAGCGTTGATCTCCGAACCACAATGGAGCGACATGGCTTACATTGACTATAAGGCAGTGGCTTTTCATGCTTGTCGTTTGAAATAAAGAACACTTTTGATGATACAAGTTATGGCTTGATCAATATTAGCACTCTCAACTGATGGTAATTGCACTCTGATTGATATTAGAATTACTAACCAAAAGGCTTCAGATAGATTAAAATTAATCAGGACATGTATTCTTTTTCTTCACAAAGGGGGGGGGAACGAGGCCTGGGAAACCCTTGCAGCCTTCCAGCGAATGAAATATGAATGCACAGGATATATTTTCTGTCTAAAGCTGTGTGGTCAGAAGATGGCAATTATCGAGATATGTGCAGAGCAAAGTAACAGTCAGTGAATCATAAGGACATTTCCCACAACTGAATTATATCCTGCTCCAGGACACAGCGAAGTATTGGAGACAAAGCTGAACAAACTATCTTTTTATATAATAATAGATTGGATCATAAAATCCGAAGAGTGTCAGTATCTTTAAACGCCCTGTGGCCTTTTCTCCAAACTTCGGAGCAGTATCTCAGAATCAGTAATGGAAGTTGTGCTGAACAACTGAGGAGAGGGAGGGAGGGAGGGAGGGAGGGGGATTCGTATCATTGCAGTTTAGACACCCTCCTGAATGGAACCAGTGGCGGCTGGTTCACTGACCCACCAACCTCAGCCTGCCCTCAGCTAGTGCCCTACTTGCCACCCTTCTTACTTATAGTAAGTCAGGGGGTGAAGGGTGCAGCAACTACCTGTTGTCATTGGTGTGTCTACAGGGTTAGCACCCATCCATTGGCTCTGTCATTACCTTCTGTTGATCTCACTGAATTCTGCCCTGCCAATCCCAATGCACACCCTCCAAGTTGTTGGAAAAACACCCGGGAAGGCCACCACCTTCCCAAGACACCGGAGCGTCTCTCTGGTGGTCACCCTCTGACTGTAAATCTTCCTCAGTCTAGAGAGACCAGTGATAAGAGACCCCTCCCTCCTGAGAGGAGCACACTCATCTTCTGGCATCTCATAACAGAAGAAGAGTCAATCAGTATCTCTAAAACTACTATAAAAAGGTAAAGGGACTCCTGACCATTCAGTCCAGTTGTGACCGACTCTGGGGTTGCGGCGCTCATCTCGCTTTACTGGCCGAGGGAGCCGGCGTACAGCTTCCGGGTCATGTGGCCAGCATGACTAAGCCGCTTCTGGTGAACCAGAGCAGCGCACAGAAATGCTGTTAACCTTCCCGCCGGAGTGGTACCTATTTATCTACTTGCACTTTGACGTGCTTTCGAACTGCTAGGTTGGCAGGAGCAGGGACCGAGCAATGAGAGCTCATCCCGTTGCAGGGATTCGAACCGCCGACCTTCTGATCGGCAAGTCCTAGGCTCTGTGGTTTAACCCACAGCGCCACCTGCATCCCTTTATTAACAGTCTTTATATACTTATATATATATACTTTATTAACAGTCTATATCAAAGAATACACCAGCATGTCTGTGCTCTCTCAGCATGAGTTCAGAACAGCCTAACACACAGAAGTGAAACTAAACTCACCAGCAACACTCCAACAGTCCTGAGACTTCCTGTCTCATGCTCTCAGGCACTCACATGATATAAACAACATAGTGATACTTGCTGAGCAGCTTGGGGGGATAAAAATCCTAACACAAGTGTCCCTATTTTCCTGGGGAAATCCTGTCCTGGTTTCTGATTTGATTCCAGATTGTCCCACTTTTCCTTAGGAAGTCTCTTATTTTCATCAGAGGGTATGGAGGAGCTAGTGGAGTTATGCAACCCCAAGCCAAGGAGATAAGTAACTATACAACTTTCAGAAGGCAGGCAGTCCTACAGAATGAAGTTTTTTAAGAAATAAAATAAAAAATAATGTTTTATTATGTTTTTATATATGTTGGAAGCCGCCCATAATAAAATTTATTATTATTATTATTGAATAGGATGTCCCCATTTCCATCAGAGATATGTTGGAGGGTATGCCAATGGGCACCAGCCACCACTGAACAGAACTATCTATGACAACTGGGCCAGTTGGGAAAAACTTCATCTACATTAAATTAATTTTCCTAGAAAGTGAGACCACAGGAAGAGCTGTCTCGGATCAGACAAAGGGTCCCAGGTCCAACATTCTGTTCCCCACGGTATCTGACCACATGCCTCTTGAAAGCCCAGAAGCAAGTCATGGAGGCAATAATCCTCTCCCATTATTTTTCTCCAGCAACTGGATGCCTGCAAATGGCTATCATGACTAATGGTCACTCATTGACTTTTTCTCTATGGGTAACCTCAAGAGAAGGCGGAGGTGCCACCATGATCTGCCAGGGACTTCTCTTCCTTTTCTTTCTCCATGGAGTTGGTAAATGGAGCAAACAAGGAGGCACTCCCTAGTATTATAGAATACAGTACACAATAGCAGAATGTTAAATATATTCTATTTCTCTGCTAAATGCTCTCAGCTGCTTGTGATTCTGAAAGTTTCCCCACACTAAAATGAATTAACAAGCTTCCCAATTTGAAGGTAAAGCGAGCACTGAAAGAGGCAGGCGCAGAATCGCAAAGAATATTTAAAGGCCTTTCCTAGGGTTTCAGCACAACTCAATATCGTCCCCTATCAAATTGTGTTAATTAATGACATTAACTCAACTGAGATTTATTACTCCCCAACCAAGAGATGTATAATTAATACTCCTCACCTATATATAGCTCTTTGTCACTACATTTAGGAATATAAGCCTCATTTATTCTAAGGTTATAATGAAAAAAAATTGACTCGTGCAATTTTAATTGCTGTAATATTTTCCCCCCTGATTTTTGCAGAGTTTCTTGGAATTTGTTGGAGCCACTAGCTCCTCAGAAACCTTTCTACAACGTTCATTTAGCTCCTGTCATTTCTTACACTAAATACAGTGGGGGCTTGATGGCTTATTTGATACCTGCATCAATCTTAATTTAGTTCCATAATTTCCTCTGACAAATCTGTTGATGCCATTGACATCCACTGCAGCAATCATTCTCACAGACTCAAGGTTATTTTGACATTTCCCATGCCCATAATTCACACATCTAGGACGTAGCCCAATTCTGCTGTCTTTTACCCTTCATCATGTTCAATACCTGTCCTTTACTTACCAGCCTGTAGGCTGATAGTCTTCATTATATCCTGCTTTGACTAATGTAGCATATTGCTTTCTCCCTTTGCAGGCCTGTGTACCGTGCCACTCCACATCAAATATATTGCAGCCAAAGCATTCATCTTCCTGGTTCAATCCATTTGTCATTTTGCCCTGTCCTTTACATCTACGAAAGCCTGCATTTACCAGGTGACAATAGTTAAGATTCATGGAATCATACAATTGGAAAGATTATAAGCCCCAAAAGGGATGCATGCATACATTATTTATTTTTAGAATACTTACCCCACTTTTTGACTTTAAAATAAGTTGGCCATATGACCAACTTTAGGGACGTGGGTGGTGCTGTGGTGTAAACCACTGAGCCTAGGGCTTGCCGATCGGAAGGTCGGCGGTTCGAATCCCTGTGACGGGGTGAGCTCCCATTGTTTGGTCCTAGCTCCTGCCAACCTAGCAATTCAAAAGCAAGTAGATAAATAGGTACCGCTCTGGCGGGAAGGTAAACGGTGTTTCTGTGCACTGCTCTGGTTTGCCAGAAGTGACTTAGTCATGCTGGCCACATGACCTGGAAGCTGTCTGTGGACAAACGCCAGCTCCCTCGGCCTATAGAGCGAGATGAGCGCCGCAACCCCAGAGTCGTCCACAACTGGACCTAATGGTCAGGGGTACCTTTACCTTTACTATGACCAACTTTATGGAGGAGAGACCTCTGTCCCGTCCAAGTCTACCTAAAGATAAGGGAGACAGCAAGTGGGGCCTTAAAGTTGCCTGTTAATGGTGAACAATGCCTGGATTGCAGACTGAGCAGGCATACAGGTCATCATTGTCTTCCCCAGTATGGTGACATGTATTGTATTTCTATTTGAATTAAGTACACATAGAATCATAGAGTTGGAAGGGACCTTGAGGACCACCTAAGTCCAACCCCACCCCACAACGCAGGGATATGCAGCTGTCCCACATGGGGATCAAACCTGCAACCTTTGTGTTACAAGCACCATGTTCTAACCAACTGAGTGTCATCCTTTCTGAATTTGCACCTATACATACAAATTAGTGTGTGCACATTTTATGGAAATCTGTGTCCTTTCTGGGTGTGTGAAGCATATCCTCTTTTTCAGTATTATATACATGACCACACTACCTCCAAGGCCCTACAGGTAGCTGATAAAAGTCACATCCAACTCGGATCTGCACTGCTTTCTTCTACCACCAACAAAGAGCCAAATAGCTATTGGCTGTAGACAGACCAGAGGAGGATTCCTTGATGTGTTGCCTGATCTTCTGATGCCAATTGAAGGGGGCCTCTGAGAAAGCCAGGTATAAAGGCTGCCAATGATGACTGTTCTTGGGAGGGAGGAGCAGAATGGCAGATGGTCCTAGCCAGGCTAACGGATGAGGCATTGCTGTCTTGCCTTTCTCTCTGGTCCTGAACATGTGGGAAACCAAAAGGGCTATTTCCAACAGGAGACTTTGCAGTTGACTGGGGTGACTTAAAAAAAAGAAAGAAAAAAGCTGCAATTGAAATGTGCTTTGTGAAATGAACGTTACCAGAAGACATGTTCCCAATCATTTTCTGCCAGTATTTCTAATTAAAAATAGTGAGTCATGTTTGATGTAAATGTGCTCCTACGAATGTAATTTTACTGACATTGGATATGATGAAAAGGAAAAGAAGCCCATTAAATGAAAAGCTAAAGCTATTATTCTCCTGCCTGCTGTCTAAATCCCAAATGAATTACCGTATCTCAAGGAGTCATGAAACATGGAAAACACAAGTCTGCAACGCTGCTGGTTTGCAGTGACTCTCATGCTTTGGGCCTCTGTAGCTAAGAAAACTGGGATGGGAATTATTGAACAATAAAGTCATCATTTAAGAACTTTGCCTCCAGTGACCGGTACTCATATTTGCATGATCAGAAAGCGCTGATGGCTATTTCATCCAGCGAAGCTCTCAAAAGACACAAGATGTTATCTTGAAATGAACATTTTCAATGTCCCTCGCTGTTGAACTTACAAGATAGCTCTGGGAAAGGTGCCACAACATGATTTTAAATTACCCCTTCCTAAACTTGCCTTGAACACCCTGAGTTTCAGTCAAAATCCAGTCCTGAGCAATCTTTTGTTTAATTCAGTAGGCAGAGTCCCAAGACTATGCTGTGGAGAACCAAGCTTGAAATCTGGGTTTACAAGATACTCCTCTATTGGCCAGCCACTAGACCCTCCTTGACTCTGCAATTAGGAATACATATTCATGTTTCCTGATGTAATGGGATTTTTCAAAAGCTCTGAGAAGCCTGGAAGCTTGAGGCTCATTTGATCCTCTCTTCTCAGTTGGCATACACCACCATTGCCCATTTCAGACTTAAAAGTGGGGTTGCCTTGGACTATGCATCACAAGCATCACTATGGTCACATCTGCTCAATCTGCCAGAGCCTGTCTTCACATGCAGGGGAAGTCCCTAACTCACCGATGGTTTGAGACCCATCCGCTACCCTCACCTGGTTTAGTCAACCCATCAAAGCCATTCCCAAGGTGTGGCTGCTGTCATATGCTGGCAGCTTCTAGAAGTCACAGGTGAGAGCTGAGTGCAAGGTGGGGACCAAAGGAGGATAAACTACCCCAGAAGGAACACTGCATTTTCCCCAGCCAGTGGTGTAGCATGGGTTGCCAGTGCCCAGGGCTGCATGGAGGGGAGGTGGAAAGGAGGGAAATGGACAATGTAAGCATGCACATTCAACTGCCTAACAGTGTCATGATCTCTGAACTACATAGTTTCTGGAATATATTGTAGTATATTTTTGTGGAATATTCTCTGTGTGTGTGTGGCTGTGTGTGTTCTGTAATCATAATTTATGAGTGTCAAATCTGGTATGGAATGCAGAATTTACCAAATTCAAAAAAAACAAAAAACTGCCTAACGGTGTCCATGTCATTCAGGAGATCAGAGCCACAGAGATAAGAAAAGAAGAGTTGTTCTGTTCTCTGGAGAGGTCACTTCCTGGTTCATATGGAGAAGTCACTTTCAACAGAGCCCAACAACAGAAGCCCAGCTTTATTGAGGCAGCACCAGGTGTTGAAATTTTGTGCCCCCTAACAATTTTGCGCCCAAGGCAACCGTCCCTGTGCCCCCATGCTACACCATTGCCCCCACCAGAGGCACTACCCCCCGACTCCCATAAAATAAACAAGGAAGCAGACAAACCAATCCACTCCTCTAACACCTCATACACTATATAATACGCCATATACCATAGTCAAAGAGCAATAAAATGTTACGTGTAACAAGCCAAGACACAGAAGCAGAGCAATTTGAAGCACTGCAAGGGGACATGACTAGGGCCATAGGCATCAAGACTCAAGTCCAATCTTCACATTTACTTCACAACATAACCTTGTCACATTTTCCTATCTTTTGCAAGGTAATGGCAGGGGAAAAGAGGTGAAATTCAACTAGCATTTACCACATCAGGGGAAAGACTTGAGAATTGCCAGAGCCCTTGATATGCAGGTTTCACTTCCAGCATGAACTCACTTGAGTAGCCTTAGGGAAGCTTCCAGTCAGCTCCTCATTTGCAATATGGGTGAATTAATAGTAATGCCAGTCTCAGGGTTACTGAGATAATGCACACACCATGTTCAGAGCACTCAAAAAGCGCTAAGTGTTATTATTCTAGGGCAAGTGCCAGCTATCCCTACATGGGGGGACATTCATAAGTAAATATTTTCCACATTAAACTGAAGAGGCGTAATCATCTCTTTCCTACTGTAAACCTGCTAGAAGTAAACATAGAACTCAGGCCCTAATCACGCCTGTGTTATTATTATAGAGCTGAGAAGCCGCAAATGGAGCCAAAGCACATTTTATTTATTTATTTTGGTCTCTTTACCTCAAAAGCAGGCCAAGGCTGCCATACCCTATAGGCAGAACCCCCAAGTCTTGCTTATTTGCTTTCATTACATAATTGTTTTTTCATAATTCATACAGAAATGAAACATTCTCATATTACACATTCATTTCATAGGTGTCTCTCTTTCCAAAACTACACACAAAGCTCACCGCATAAGGGACTAGGGTCTGCTTTTCCAAACATCAGCTGCCGCTGGCAGAAGGGGGAGTTCTACGATTTGGGTTTCTCTCCAGTCTCAAGTTCAGTTCTCCATGTTTCCACATTAGTTTGTATTATTTATTTATTTTTACAAAGTCCGTATGAAAATCCACCATATTAGTGCAAATTTCTCCTATTTTTTGCAAAGCAGTTTTCCATAATGTGGCACGTTTTTGTATGTTGCTTTTATTAATGTGTGCATTTTACGCATTTTCCTCTAAAGATGTACTTCTGCACATATTACCGAGCTGGAAAATTGCATTTTGAAATTTAGAGAACAACAAATTTCTAAAGACGGCTGTGTTTCGGTTCTCATATTGCTTCAATTTCAGTAAATCTACCTTCAGATGTGAGATGAATTGCATTTCTGCCCCAACTACTTATTTACTTATTTATAGCTGCTTATTTCCAGTGTCAGGGAAGGAATACATTTTAAGAGAAATCACTCTTTACCTCTATGTTCTCAATTTCAGTGGTGGCATTCTCCTTCTGGTTTCTAACGACAGAGTACTCTGGAAATGGTTTGATCTGCTGGCATCAAACACTTCATATCAAGTATTATTAACTGACATTTGGAACAGGAAATTCCCCTCCAAAGCTGTCACTGATTCATTCAGTTTCTATTTTTACTAGACAAGGTCTATAATTTCACGTCATTGAAGAACACAGCCTGCCTATCGGTGTCTAGTCACCAAACCTGATAAAATGTCATGCTTCTGTTTAGCCTACCATGCAACACTTGATGAGTCATCCACCTTTTCATGCATTTTCTTAGGCTGATCCTCTCTATTCAAAGTCCTGCTGGTAGGTTGCTGTTGTAATGAGAAAGGAGTGGATAATACCAAACACCCAAGAAACAGTCCACTCTTGATAAAGTGCAGCAAAAATCAGGAAACCCTAGGCAAACTGGGAAGCAATGGGGTACTTTCTCCTACAAGCAGATAGGATAACAAAAGATTAAACTTCTCCATGTTATACTCCCTGATGAACAACCTGAGTGGTCCAAAATTTCTTGGGTATCAAACTTGTCCCCTACCCTTTGCTTCCAGCTTCCCCTACCCCATTTTTGATAAACTGACACATCCTACAGATACATGAACAGCAAATTGTGCACGGACACTGGGCCTTCTCACCCATGAGGCATGGTGAGATTACTGCTTCAGGTGGCAAAATTCACAGGGAAGTGGATCCTGATGTACTGTATATTTTTATTCCCTCTTTGTTCCTGGTGTTGATCTTCACCCCTCCCCCCTTCTTCCCTGGAAGGGAAGAGGATGCCATTTTGTGGTTTGCCTCAAGTGCCAAAATGCATTGGGCCAGCCTTGTGCACACAGGCACACTCACACAGATACACAGCCCAAGGTGAGCCATGTTACTATCAGAGGCAGAAACTGTAGGAGAGAAGAGTTTGGAAAATAGATTCCTACTCTCTCATAGCGGAGTCAAGCACACTGGCAATTGCTCCAAGCACATTAAAAGTTGGTTAGATTTACATCTGCTATCACCCACCTTTAAACAAATGTTCCTCACCAAAATACTTAGGCTAGAATAAATCGCAGACACTTAGCTTTGCAAACAAATGGTTTTACTCGCAGAATTTCCAGAAGTTACAGCAAATAGGTCTCCATCCACTGGTACCAAAACAAAAATTTAAAAGGTTCCAAACAACTTAAAAAGAAAAGTACTTGGTTCTGTACCTACGTATAATCTTTGGGTTAGCAAAGATGCAGGCTTTGAAATTTCCCTTTTGGAGAAATTCAGTTCACTTGCAGCATTTGCTGAGTTGGGAGCCAAACCACATGGCTCTTTCCTCAATTGTTCCAGGAAGTATGAAGAAATGGGGAGAGGAGAACATAGGCTGCTGAGAGCCTACGAAGCCACACCCACTTGTAACCTGAGCTCAGTGCTCAGGTAAATTCTTTCATGCACACAAGTGAAAGTCAGTAACTGTATATTGCAACAGAAAATCCTACAAACACCCTTCGCTATCCCCACCAGTAAAAATACAAGGATAATACATGAAAATATTAGCCATTTGCAACCCTTTAATGACAGCCAAATTCAGCCACCAGGCTCTGCCTAATGGTAGGGCCGGCACTACAGCATCCAGGTGGAGAGAGCTGTGAAAGCAGGACCTTTCAAAGCCTGCAAAATCAACTTAATATAACCTTGAGCCTGAATTAGCATGGCCTTCATACCAAGCACCACCTGAGAGCTGTTAATTGGCAACACTTGGCGCTTGCATTGCAGAGAGATTGCATATTCCAAGCGTTCGGTCTGCAATATTCTCTCACTTGGGGAAATGTGATGATTTGCCCAGCTAGTCGTGCTACTGCAGTGCTGATTGTTCATTCTGTGCTTGTTCAAATGAAGGAGAACAGCAAGTCTAGTTCCTCTCCCATCCATGCATGTGCCAATATTCATTCCACTGCTCAGCACCTCAAAGGTATGGGGAGCCTGAACCTATTTGCATTTGGCTAATTCCAGGATCCATTGTGTTCTCAGGGCTGTTCAGCTAGTCAGCAATGCTGTGTTCCTCATTTTTCAGAATGAAATACTTCTCTGAATTTATAGCTTTCATTGTGTGTGCCTGGTACGGGATTTACCTGCAGGGGTCAATTCAGCAACAGCTGGCAAATGTCTCTGGAGCACTCGCAATGCCACACTATACGCATCTGATTCGGCGTGTAGTCGGCAAATCTTAGCTTTGCTGACTTCAGAACAGCAGGGTAGTTGGCAGGTGAGAGCAGTAACGAAAATAAGACCTGTCTCAA